ATACATATATATATATATATATATATATATATATATGTATTTGAACTTGGGTTAGCAATTAGGGCCACTGAGCTACTTTGGACAAGTAAGTTGATTTTTACATTAATTGTAGACAAATTAGTATGGTATTTCTTTAGGCCTATATTTTTACAACAGTGTACATGCAAATCAAACTTGTTAAAGTATCAAGGAAGAAATTTTTAATTGTTTACTTAGGAGTTTGAATTATTTTCATCAGATAATTGAAAAGAACGCACTAGCGAAAGAACAACATTATAATGATATGCTGTTAACTTTCTCAGTTTTTATGTATTTCTGCTAGAAGAAAATATCTACATATGTAAAATTTTTCACATGTTTACAAGGTTTCCTCTAAGAATTAAAAATATATCCTACTTTAACTTCTGATGATGTTAACAGGGTAAAGAAATAAGAAATTCAACAGTATATAGTATGACATCTTTAAACTGATTTAAATAATGTATAATCATTAGCATCAACAAATAAGAAAAACAAAAACTGACTTTGCTGAAGAAATCACAATAGAATGTTGGTCAGAATGCAAGATCTTGGTAAGATGGGTAACAACACAGTCTTCCACCAACAAGGGATCAAACTAAATGTTTCCAAGACAATCACACAATGATTAGCATGTGAAACATACTTAATATAAAAAATTATAACTTAATAATAAAATCTAATCTTGCACTTTCAGTTAATGCCATTTCTTTTACACGGATTGAAAAACTAACATCATGAACCTAAAGAATATCTTGTGGACTTTCACGTGATTGTGAAGCACACAAAATTTTATATCAAATCACATTGTTCTCAAAAGACAAATACAAGAACATAAATCCTAATAATCACAGGAAGTACCTATCAAACTCAAGATTATTATATAAAATTTATAGTTACTTATTATAAGAACATATCAAACATTTACTTTTGTAATGACTGCATTATCTAACTTAACATGTTCATCTAGCCATTCAATATAATAAAATTTGATATCTATAACAATTAAAAGTTGATTACATGTACATCAAGCCACAAAAAATATCAAAATACAACAATAAGTGCTCACTTTTGTAGATGAGGTTTTACTTGTCTCTGGTTCAAGTAATGTTTTTTCACATGTCATGATACTCCACCTGATAACACAATAAAATATGTTAACTGTTCTACACAGTACATATGAATAAGAAAAAAACAGGATCACAGTGTCTAACCCAAAACTAAAGACTGTATTTACATTCAAAATATTATTAATGTAAAATTACCAGTAATTACATAATGGTAATATTAATATTAACTATCCCAATAACTTACACTTTCTAGCATATCTGTAATTGTACCATTTTAAATGATTTAAACTGTATTTTAAAAAGAAATAACTACAGGTGATGAGTATTTGTAACAGTTTTATTGCAACGATTCTATGTTTAATAATTCTACAGAATGTTTAATATGTATAAGCTGTAGTATTTTGTGTTTAATAATTCTACAGTATGTTTAATATGGAAAAGCTGTGTTTAATAATTCTGCAGTATGCTTAATATGTTTTAACTGTGTTTAATAATTCTACAGATTGTTTAATATGTATAAGCTGTGGTATTTTGTGTTTAATAATTCTACAGTATGTTTAATATGGAAAAGCTGTGTTTAATAATTCTGCAGTATGCTTAATATGTTTTAACTGTGTTTAATAATTCTACAGATTGTTTAATATGTATAAGCTGTGGTATTTTGTGTTTAATAATTCTACAGTATGTTTAATATGGAAAAGCTGTGTTTAATAATTCTGCAGTATGTTTAATATGTTTTAACTGTGTTTAATAATTCTACAGAATGTTTAATATGTATAAGCT